CAAGGAGGAGGATAGGAAGGAAGGGAGGGTCAAGGAGGGAGGGAAGAAGGGAGGAAGGAAGGAAGGAAGGTGCAAAGAACTGGGCGAGGAAGGGAGGGAGGAAGGAGCAAAGAGGAAAAGAAGGAAGAAAGGAGTCAAGGAGGAGGAGAGAAAGAAAGAAAGAGGAAGGAAGGGTCAAGGAGGAGGATAGGAAGGAAGGGAGGGTCAAGGAGGGAGGGAAGAAGGGAGGAAGGAAGGAAGGAAGGTACAAAGAACTGGGCGAGGAAGGGAGGGAGGAAGGAGCAAAGAAGAAAAGAAGGAAGAAAGGAATCAAGGAGGAGGAGAGAAAGAAAGAAAGAAAGAGGAAGGAAGGAAGGAAGGAAGGAAGGGTCAAGGAGGAGGATAGGAAGGAAGGGAGGGTCAAGGAGGGAGGGAAGAAGGGAGGAAGGAAGGAAGGTGCAAAGAACTGGGTGAGGAAGGGAGGGAGGGAGGAGCAAAGAGGAAAAGAAGGAAGAAAAGAGTCAAGGGGGAGGAGAGAAAGAAAGAAAGAGGAAGGAAGGGTCAAGGAGTGAGGGGGGAGGAAGGAAGAGGGAGAGGTAATATTTTTCTAAACACATAAGTTGTTTGAGGAAGAATAATACAGGAACAATTTCTCTTCCTGTGCCATTCAAATACGGCCAAATAGACTGATAGAGAGAAAACAGAACAATCCATCTGCTGCTTTCAAGACCCTCGTCTTCCATGCACAGAACTCTGCAGCATGGAGTCCCATCGCCTACACCAGCAAACAATTTGTCCCATACAAGGGCTGCTCTGCCTTTACGCCCAACAGGGCTGCTGTCTGGGGCAGCAGAGCCCAGGAGACAGGGCAAGAGGTTGCCAAGGAGGGAAAGGAAGAGTTGTGTCTATCGCAAGGCCTGCTCTCGATTCTTGTCGTCTCACCTCCCGGCCTCAAAGGAGATGCATTAGCATCACTTCTTGTGTGCCAGCCCGATCAGCTTCCGCCTGTGAAATCTGTCAAGGAGGCTCATCTTGATTTTTGCTTCGGGCAAGAAAGATCTCTTGAGCCGGCCCTGTCGGTGTCTAGTTCCTATTTGCTTCAGAGACGTCTTAAAAGCACAGATTATATGAAGCCGTGTCCATGTTTCCCTCAGGGCAGTTGCATCAGACTGAGGGAATCGCGTGGCAGAGCTTTCGACATTCTTGAGATAACAGAAAAAGGAGCCGAGTTTCTGTACTGGCTGAACTTGAAAATCAGGCATGGCAGCCAAGTTTTCTCGGCTTGATTTAAACATGAACAACTGGCTGGCTTATGTCGCTGAGCAGTTTCCAAGCCAGTTTTGCATTTACTTTTGGATTTAACTGAAAGCAAATAGAGCCGCTGGATTGGAAAACACTCCTGTGGGGATGTTGATGAAATCTCCAGCAGTTTGCAGCTAAGAGGGAAAGTGCTTCTGGTGAAGGGTGTGTTGAGGGAGTGAGAGTGATTGTTTTGGGGCCAGTGGCATCCCAAGCTTTAAAAAGTTGTTTCCTCTGCCTCAAGGAGAGCCAAAAGAAACCCCAAAAACCCAAGGTTTCTTAAAAAGGAGCCCGCCTTTCATCCATGGGCTAGTAAATATTTACAGTAAAAATGTTTTATTTATTTTATTTGGTTTGTCAATTGCTTACAAGATAATAGGTATAAGTAAAAACATAGTTATGAATACATGGATACATAGAAGAAGAATAAAAGAAACAATAGGACAGAGACGGTAGGCATGTTGGTGCGCTTATGCACGCCCCCTACAGACCTCTTAGGAAAGGGGTGAGGTCAATAGTGGACAATCTAAGGTTAAAGTTTTTGGGGTTTGGGGAAGAAACCACAGAGTCAGGTAGAGTATTCCAGACATTGACCACTCTGTTGCTGAAGTCGTATTTCCTGCAATCAAGTTTGGTGCGGTTTACCTTGAGTTTGTATCTATTGTGTGCTCATGTATTGTTATGGCTGAAGTTGAAGTCTTCATTGACAGGTAGGACATTGCAATGTATAATTTTACATACTATACTTAGATCAGACCGAAGGCGGCGTAGTTCTAGATTTTCTAGGTCTAGAATTTCAAGTCTGGTGGCATAAGGTATTCTGCAACGAGTAGAGGAGTGGAGAACTCTTCTTGTGAAATATTTCTGGACTTTCTCAACTGTGTTAATATCAGGTACGTAATGTGGGTTCCAGACTGATTAGCTATATTTGAGTATTGGTCTAGCAAATGTTTTGTATGCTCTAGTTAGTAGTGTAATATTACCAGAGAAAAAGCTACGTAAGATTAGGTTAACAACTCTGAATGCCTTTTTGGCTATGTAGTTACAGTGGGCTCTAGCACTTAGATCATTAGAGATGAGTACTCCAAGGTCCTTGACAGAGTTTGGATTGTCAACAAGGTCTTGACTATTCAGCCTGTATTTTATTTTCTGATTATTATTTTTTGCCAATATGTAGGGCAGAGCATTTATTTGTTGAGATTTTAAGTTGCCATTTGTTTGACCATTCTGATACATAGTCGAGGTCTTTTTGAAGGATAGCAGTATTGTCTGTGGTGTTGAATAACTTTACATCATCAGCGAAGAGAACACAGTTGCTCTTAATATGATCACAGAGGTAATTTATGTAGAGTATGAAGAGAGTTGGTCCTAGAACACTGCCTTGTTGACAGGTACAGGATTTGATAGGACGCTCCCAATTTTGACCATTTGTTGTCTGTTTGACAGGAATGCTTCTATCCAGTTATGCAGGTGTCCAGAGATACAATAAGATTTTAGTTTTAGTAGTAGTTTGTTGTGTACCACTGAATCAAAGGCTTTACAGAAGTCTATGTAGATTGCGTCTATTGCTTTGCCCTGATTGAGTTGTGTAGTCCATATGTTTTTGCAGTGTAAGAGTTGCAGATTACAGGATAGTTTTCATTTTTACATTCGTTTAGGGTCCAGTTAAGGTGAGGTAGATTGAAGTCACCAAGAAAGATAAAAGTATGTGAGCAGGATGTTGCCCATGTTAGTAGTGAATTTAGCTTGTTTACATGTTCAATGTCATAATCAGGGGCTCTGTAACATAGTAAGAATCGAAATGTGATATTTAAGGACAGTTCACAGATGATGGTCTCAGGAAGAGCAAGCTCCTGGGTAACTTGGATGTTTTTTAGATGTAAGGACTTTTTATAGAAGATAGCAACACCACCTCCTCTACGGATTTCACGATCTGATTGGTAAACATGATAGACTCTTACTGTGGTAATGGAGTCAGGGAGAGATGCATTGAGCCATGTTTCACAGACAAATATGGTGTCGAGTTTAGCCATATTTAGTAAGAAGAGAAATTCAGGTATTTTATTCACAAGGCTTCTTGCATTGAGTAGCTTGCATTTAAGGCCAGTTGTAGTTGGAATTGAGGTAGTTTGGGGCGTGCGTGCCCAGTTTTGAGTGATAGTGAGTTGGATGAGGTAGGGTTGGATGTGGAGTTGTGGGTTGTGTGGCTTACGTTTGATACAATCAGCACGGTAATCAATGTACAGATCCTTCTCTCCATTGTCTAGATGTCTTTTGAGTTCATTGCAGAGTTCATGGGAACGGATTCTTTGAGAAGGTTTTGCTAATAAACAAATAAATAAATAAATAAATGCCTCCTAGGCAAAACCAAAAAAAAACCCACCCACAACTTCTGGAGGCAAGTCGTTCCACTGATTAATTGTACTTCTGAGACTTCTTTCAAAGGGAATTTCTGCACTTTAATAATAAAAAAAAAGTAGGATGAAGGGTAACATGATGGCAGTCTTCCAGTATTTGAGAGGCTGCCACAAGGAAGAGAGGGTCCACCTATTCTCCTGTGGGAAGAAAAATCCAGTCCAGTTCCAAGCCGGGAGAAAGGCGTTGGAAATAAAACGGAGGCTGGATGCAAGGAAAAAAGGTTTGTTTGGTTTCCAGAAACTTCCATGACAGCAGCAAATGTTTCTGGGGTAGCTGAGTGAATGGATGGATCTTTTTAGGGTTCTGGGGTTTTGTGTTTGAGATGCTCCAGGGGGTTGTGCAATGTAGTGAGCCTTGTGTCTTTTACTATTTCAATGATGGTGAGTTAATCCTATTATATCCTAAAGGTCATGTTCTGTCCTTAGAATTTGGGGGGGGGGTAAATTCTTAACCCCATCAGCTGTAGCTGAAGGCGTTCTGTTTATGAGCCCAGTCTTTCTTAATAGGTACAAAATATCCATCTCTAAAGACTGGAGGCTTCTGCTTGAGACTATTAAGAAAGACTGGGGCTGCTTTCTGCCTTTGTTAAGGTTTTTCTCCATTTCTCCTTTGGGGAAATATAATATTCTGCCTCTTTCTAATATTAGGTAAAGGTAAAGGTTCCCCTTGCACATGTATTATGCTAGTCGTTTCAGGCTCTAGGCGGTGGTGCTCATCTCCATTACAAAGCCAAAGAGCCAACACTGTGCGAAGACGTCTCCGTGGTCATGTGGCCGGCATGACTAAATGCCGAAGGCACACAGAACGCTGTTACCTTCCCACCAAAGTGGTCCCTATTTTTCTACTTGCATTTTTACATGCTTTCGAACTGCTACCGTGTTTCTCCAACAATACGGCCTCCACCAATAGGAAGACCCAGCATGTTTTCTAGGCATAAAATTAAATTAAGCCCCTCCCCCCAAATTTAGGCCTAGTTTAAAACATGCAAAATAGGGGGAAGGGTGGGGGGACTTGCCATTTGGAG